GGAAGAAGATTTGTTGATTTATGTATAAATTCTCCTATTTTTCTTCCAATTAAATAAAATGATATTTTTCATAAGGGAAAAGGAAGAGATTGAAAGCGAGAAGGGATTTTGGGAGAGAAAGAAGAAATATTTTGGATTTTTGAAAAATCCTCATTTGTAAGTGAATTTTTATGATATAATTTTTATTAAAATTTTGTTAGTAATTTATATTTACATGAAAATTTATATTGTATATTTTTAGAGATTTTAGAAAGGAATAGATCGAAAGTTGTAGGAGTTTGATTCAACAAGGAAGAAAAATTTGAGGTTTGAGGTTGTAGGGTCATGCCTATGTTACAAGTTTTCTTATCTTCATTTCATTTAATTTCTCTATATGCCACCTATATATATTTTTTAAATGATAGGAGCGAGTTTAGTGCATCATATTTTTAAATTACTGTAACATGAAGAAATATTGAAACAATATGCATTTTAATCCTGTAATTTAAAATAATAAAAAATTCATTTAATTATTACTTGATGTAGTCAAATATTTATGTACCTTTTTATGACTTTTGGTTGATTATGTATTGTAATTTTTATTTTGGTTACCCTATGATGGAAGACAACCGATGATCATGCTAGGTTGGCGCTCTTAGGAACGTCTCTCTCTTTCATTCACTTTGTTTCTTTGGGTTTTCCCTTGGTTGGTTGCTGGGTTGATTCCTCATGGGCCTTTTTTTCCTCATTTTTTCTCATTGGTATCCGTCCCTTCAGTTTTTGTGCTCATTGTCTGCTGTGTTGATGCTTCAATTTCCCCCTTGGCAGCTATCCTTTCGATTTCTGTGTTCATTGGCTGCTGCGTTGATGCTTTAGTTTCCCCTGGGCGGTTGCCCCTTCGATTTTGCTGCAGTTTTGTGGTGTTTCTAGTGGCTGGGTGAGAGGTGCGTTAACTTTCTGCATTAATTGCTCTTGTCCCTATAAATAGGGGTTGTTTTCCTGCGGTTGGAGGGGGTTTTTAGTGAAGTGTTTGCATACAAACCTACATATTTTTCTAGCTTGCGATCTAACCTCCTTTCCCCTTTACCTTTACTTCTTCGTCTCGGTTTTCTATCTCTTCTTCACTTTCCATGGTTCCCGCCCCATTTGTATCCTTTTTCTCTTGTGAGCTTAGTGGTGTTTCTTGCCACATTTTAGTTGGTATTTGCTGGAGGAGGGTGGACTTGTGCCAGATTGTTTAGTGGTGCATTCCGGATTAGATCTTTCCTTTGAGCACATATCCTAATTTTTTCAAGCTCTGCATGTGATGCGACAACTTGTTGGTTGTTCTGAGGGTAGTCTTATTTACATTTTCTTATGTGTTTTTCCTACAGATTTCGTAAGCTGCTTTCTAAAGTTTGTTTCTACTTTTAGTTTTTTTAACATGTGGATGTTTATGCTTTATTGAGAGGAATAATTTTCTAATTTCTTTCCTTAGTGTTCTCCATAAAATATTTAGAAATTTAGGTTGCATCAATTTGGTATCAGATCATCAGGTTGTCGTTCTAGTCTTACTTTCTTCTTTATAAAAAATATGGATAATCAGTAAGCTGAATGACAAAGAATGATTATGCAATAAATGATTAATCTACAACAAATAGAGACAATGACTAATACTTCAAAATGCACTAAACTTAAACAATGCTAATCCCCAAAATAACGAAATTGAAGAAGAAGCAGCACAAGTCCAAAATCGAGACAATAAACAATGGGACTATGGGATAAAAATTGAAGGAAATGAATTTGAAGGAAAACTGAAACATGAACAATTTATTGAGTGGATTGAAGAAAATAAATCAATTTTTTGAATGGAAAGAATTTTTTGAAAATAAAAAGGTCAGGTTTGTTAGCTTAAAACTAACAGGACATGCCTGAAAACTTACAAAACAATAGAGTTAGGAGAGGAAAAAAGAAAATTCAAACATAAAGAGAAAATGCGAGGAAAGTTTTTACCATCTGACCATGCCTAAACTCTATTCCAAGAGTATAACAATCTTCGCCAAGAAACCTGTTCAATAGAAGATTACATTGAAGAATTCTATAATCTGCAATTCCGAAATGACTTAAATGAAACTGAAGAGCAAACTATAATACGTTATATTAATGGGTTAAAGTGGTTAATCCAAGATCAACTAAATCTTCATCATGTAATCAAACTTGACGAAGCTTATCGTATTATTTATAAATACTCAACAAATACTCAGTAAATACGCGAATTCACAACATAATAATTATTTTCAATCTAAAAAAATTCTTAATTTTAAATTGTCATATAATTCTCAACTTAATATTTTCTAGATTAATTAATAATAAAATATCATATTTAAAATATAAAATTATAATTATCTTTTACTATTCTCCTTTCCACTAAAACCCTAATAACCATTTATATTAAAAAACTTAAAAAAATTCTTATATCATAAATTATACTTAAGAAATCTATTTCTCTTCTTGGTCATTGCTTGATATCGCGCCTTCGCCCGTTAGTTTGCTCACACTCGCTCCTTAGCTCCGACTTCGCTTCTCTTTCTCTATCACTCCGTTATTCTCCTCTATCTCTTTTCTTGCTTTGCTCGGTAGCTGATCACTAGCTCTCTGTTTTATCCCTTTCTCGCAGCTCTTAGGTTCTTTTTCTCAATCTAATCCTTTATATTTGTCTTCTTCTTTGTCTGTTTCTCCCTCTCGCAATTTTTAAACCTAGAATTCCTTCAACAATTGTTAAAGACGAACCCTTCATCTTCGTCTTCCATTGTGATGCTAAATATAAGAACATGCACAGTCGGCTTGATTATATTATTATTATTATTATTATTTTGAGATATTATAGAAAATGATGACCTTGGGTGTTTAAACCTCTGACATGGTAATGGTAGGTGGGCCCACTTTACACAAAAAATAAAAGAATCAGAAGAGTAGTGTATTTACACTTTTACTGTGATGTACATGCGCCAATGCTTCAATATGTGGTTGGTGTGGAATTTTGTTCAATTCATTACATTGCTTGTAATACTTTCTTATTTCTGCTTCTTTGCTAAAATTGCTTTAATCACGTTGCAAACTTTTTTTTTTTCTTGCCAACAAAACAATAATCATAAGTTCCCTGCATTTTTTATGACCAAGATTAATAGTCTTCCTTTATGAACCCTAAATTCCACCACTTATCCAATCGTCGAACAAATTATCTGATTTGTTGTTTTGCGAGCGTTTGCACATGAGAACATGCCGTATTTTGGATAAGTTGAATATTCCTTAGGGGATTTTTTTTTTTTAAATTAGCAATTTCATTAGATGTTGTGGATCTGTTTTTACCAACTCAAAGATATCTCTTCTTCTTATTCATAGAACATCTCAAACTTAATTATATCATTTGTATACCTTTTTATTTCAAACCTCTTCTTTTTTTACTTATTATGTAAAGCTTTGTCCTCTTCCCATTCTTCTAGATTATCGGTTTTGAATCCTAATAACTCTATCCTAATCTGTTCTCACTTCACCTAAATTCTCTTTTGTTGCATTTTGAATGATTTTCGTGTTGCAATTTTGTTGATTCTGGGAACTTATATTACGTTAGAAATTTTGAGCACATGTTGGAGTCCCCGTTTGTGAGTAGAAACTTGTGATGAAATCCAACTATAATACGTAACATGCAAAGCTTATAGAAGGGAATTGTTAGATTCTTGGAAGAGCGTTGATTGTGAGACTACGGATATCTGTTTGCAGTGTTCCTGTTGTTCTTGGAATGTTGTTTAATCTTTTATAATACTCCGTCTGATGCTTAGTGGGGCTAGTATTTGATCTATTCATCTAACTTGGGGACAATTTTTAATTATTTACTAAAATTATTATTGTTTCAAGATACCATTTCAAAAGAAAAATCACAAGGATCTCTATTCAAGTCTGTTCTCAAGTGCATACCAGATTTGATAGAAGAAGTTGGAAGAAGTGATAAAATAACAGATATAATTCCTCAGCATGGAATAAGCATTGATCCTGGTGTTCGTGAGGAAGCAGTGCAAGTGTTGAACCGGATTGTACGTCATCTCCCTCACCGTCGTTTTTCAGTAATGAAGGGAATGGCAAACTTTATATTGAAACTTCCAGATGAGTTTCCACTTCTTATTCAAACTCAGCTTGGCCGCCTGGTGGATTACATGCGTTTGTGGAGGGCTTGCTTGTCTGATGAAAGTATGATTGATGATATTCACAACATAAAACAACCAGCTCTTGGAAATGAGAAAGTCCACAATTCTTTTCAACTGTCAGTAGGTCCTTCTGAATTCCAAGCATCAGAAATGGATGCACTTGGTCTTGTTTTTCTCTGTTCTGTTGATGTTCAGATAAGGCATATTGCTTTGGAGTTATTACGCTGTGTCCGTGCACTAAGAAATGATTTGAAGGACATTTCATTGTTGAAGGAGAATTCTAAGGAGAAGATGAAATATGAAGCAGAGCCAATATTTATAATTGATGTCTTGGAAGAAAATGGGGTAAGATTTTCCATCAAATATGCTTCATTTTATGTATCATCACTTTTTTTTTGGCATTTATTGTGATCATGACCATTGTGATCTGAAATCTTCTTTTTATTATGAGGGTGTTCAATATTTTATTTTATAACATTTTTTATGTCAGCACAGGATGACATTGTTCAAAGTTGCTATTGGGATTCTAGTCGTCCTTATGATTTGAGGCGCGAGTTTGATCCTGTTCCGACTGATGTGTCCCTGCAATCCATTCTTGAAAGTCCAGATAAGAATAGATGGGCTAACTGTCTTAGTGAGATTGTGAAATATGCTGGCGAACTTTGCCCTAATGCTGTTCGAGAAGCAAGGTAAATTTATTCTCTTTTATTTGGATTTTTAAAAAAAATTCCAAATGCATTGTTATTTCGTTGCAATGTTGGGAATTACTTCTGAGCTAGGTCACTCGGTCATCTTTTGTAAGCTGGATTTATGGACAGTTTTTGTTCCATTTCTTTCTTACCCTTTACTAACCTGTCTTATCTCTCCGATTCAGTTTTAAGTTCTCATTCATTCCCAAATCATCATGACCTTTTTTTTTTGAATAAATCATCATGACCTATTATTGTTCTCTTATCCTCTATTTATGATGCTTTTTTGCTTAACATTTTTGAGTATTCAGTAGCTAATTTTAGCCACTTAATTCCATTCATCTTGGCTGGTTTATTGACATTTTATCAATCTTCAATTTGATTGCTTTGATATTTTCTTACAACAATAACAACATCAAGACTTCATCCCACTATGTGGGGTTGGCTACATGAGTCCTTTTTCTCCATTGTGTTTTATTATGTGTCAAATTCTCATTTAAATCTAATAAAAAATCATTTCTAATAACCAAGTCTTTTTTAGGTCTACCTCAACCTTTCTTAACTTTGACTGAATTTCATGCCAAGGTTTAAAAAGGCAAAATCGGGAATTGAGGTGTTTTGGCTTAGTGAGGTGAGGTGTAAGCCTCTAGGGGGATTGAGTCATAAGCCTTAAAACAGAGAAATAAAAACACATGTACTTACAAATAATTTATAAAAATGATAAAATAAAATAAAACATCAACTTCTTTATTTGATTCATCATCATAATGATAAAAACTACAAAGCTCAATATTAAATGTTATTAAAATATTAAAGTTTGAAATGAGATTCAAACTAATCAGTCATTTAAAACTTAAATACACCATAAAGATTAGGATCCACAGTGACCTCATCTTTATTTCATATTCTTCATTATAGCACTTGTATGTAATAATTATATAATTCGTGAATTTTGTCTCATTGTCATCTTTTAAACCTTATTCAATTATAACAATTTTTTTAAACTTCACATATTAATTAACATTAGATTTAATGTAATATAAGATAAAACAACAAATTAATAAAAGAACCATTCAACAAATTAATAACATACCAAATTAACATTAGATTCACTTCGCTTAAAGTCAAATTTGGAGGTCTATCATATTGCTTCCCACCTTTATCTTAGATGTAGAGGTAGAGAGATGGTGGCGAGGTCAACCTAGCTCTTTGTTTAAGTGGGTAGAATTTATGAAGGTATTTCAAGATTGGTTTATGTCTCTCTTTGCAATAAGACAAATGCAAGACAAATTTATAAGGTTAGTGCAAGGTGTAATCTCTAAAATTTCAAATAAGTGAGATAAAAAATTATCATAAAAATTATATCCTATTTTTCACCTATCTTGAAAATCATCAAAATAATTTTTATAAATTTATATTTTATTTGATCATTTGGAGATATATAAGATATGTAAATATATTAGGATTTAATAATTAATTTCCTAATTAGATTAATTGACAAATAGCTTTAAATAATACTGTTCACTCAATTGATCTACCGTAGCGAACTAAATTTCTCCAAATTCTGGCAAATAGTGTTTAGTTAAATTGAATAACTAATACTTATTTATAGCCTTAGCTATGTATTCATCCTTATCTCGTGTACATCCTATGACATATCTAGAGGTGGAATCGGGCATAAGGGGAGGGCTGGGGTGGTTGAAACCGTGAATAAGAAGGAAACAAAGAAGGAAAGATAAAAGTAGTAGAACAAGAAGAAGAGGGGAATGAGAGGAGAGAAGAGAGAAAAAGGGGGGGGGGGGTAGGGGGAGGAGGAGAATTCAAGATTTTGGTGATAATCTTATTATAGTAATTGGTCTTAATGCACATTGAGTTTGAAGTGGAGTTCATAGGATTGAATGCTTGAATGAGAAGAAATCATTTCAAGAAAAATATGATTTGAGGCTAATTTAGTTAGCTTCTAGTTGTCAATTTAGGAATTTATTTTAAATTATTATTATTATGATTATTATTATTATGATTATTACTATTAGGTTGTTTATGAAAGAATACAACATCAAGGCAATAGAAATTAGAAAATTTATCTTGAAGAAGATCCTATAATTTTGCTATGATACTAAATCCCTAATATGTGGAGCAAATGATTTTTAGGCCTAATATTTATTTATTTATATACTCCCATGAAACTACTATTTGTGTGCAAATAAATATTTCTTCATATTAAGCATAATATGATATTAACAAGGCTAATGCATTAAATAAATTAATGTTATTTTTAATTGACTCAATTTATAAGAATAATGATAGAATATAATTTTGGCTTTTACTTATCCTTTTTACCCTTGTTGTATGCTAAATATATTAATTGATAATATGTGAATGTTAATGTTAAGCAATTTTAAATATTGATGATAATAATATTAAATTGAAAGAAATAAATTAAAGATCATATCCTATGAGATACGTTGGCAGACTATAATAACCTACGAAGAGAGATAAAAGTTATAGAGATGAGCTTTAATAGGAAAAAAGAGAGTTCATAAAGTGAATATGTAAGGTTCAACCTTAAGATCGAGGGGCCATTGATAATTGTTATGTTAGATTGTTCAAATTTTATCAAATATTTGAAAGGCTGACAAGCCATGTGACAACCAATGATAAATGTGCCGAAAGCCTACATGTATATGATATTTCTAAGAAATTAATAATACTGAAAAGGAAATTAAATGTGACAAGAAACTTCATAAAAGTAATTGATAAGTAAAGTGCACATTGTGAATTAACATTTGACATATGCATTTCATTTTCTCACAAATACTCAAGCTCCTTGCTTAAAATTAAGTTTTTTATTTATTTAAATGTTAAAGCAATTTTTTCTTTAAAGTTTATTACTGCACTAAGCTAGTTAAATTTATAATTATAAATGCTCATGCTAGTTCATCATACATATTATTTCTTTTTTTGAATGTTTGAATCTTATATTAGAATTGTTTATTTTGCTGTGTATATAACTCAATAGGTTTTACTATGATCATTTTCCAAGAAAGGGAAAGGAGCATGCAGAACCATAGGTAAGTGATGTAGTACTATCATGCTTAAAGGGATATGAAAAGAACTTGCACGATTTCTTGATAAAAACAATTATGATTAGAACGAATAGCAAATTAAAACGACCAAATAAAACTTAAGAGCGGTCACTTCTGTTAAGGCCAAGTTGCACAATAAGCGCTTGAATTATCAAACTACAAAGAAAATCAACAACATGCAATTGGAATAGCTTTCAACAAAATCCCTAATCTAACAATAAGATTAGAAACAAATGAAGTACACTCTATCCCTACCTTTACTAAGCTCAGCAGAGTTTGGTGAGCAATATCTTCGTGAATCTATCAAATCACAAGAACAAATTAGACAATGAAAATACGTGAAAAGGAAGATTGGTAAACACTTATCACAGTTGAGTTGTGATCCTCCATTGAATGCTGCCAAGTTGTTCCTCAATAGACTCGACCAAGGTATCCAGGATGCAGTCTATGTACTCTTCTACATTGTTGTCGATGCGCGGGTTGACTTCGGAAAAGGTCGAGTGAAGAATGCAAACGAACTCGTGGAATAGGCCGTGGAAGAGGTCAATTCCTTGTTTGTCGTAGGAGAGATCGTAATTAATATCCAGATCGGCCATGCATGTCATTTGAGGTTGAGATGTTGACGACGATCGTTGAGGCTCCCTTGAAGACCCCTCTTGAGATGGAGGAGGTAATCTAGAGAAATCAGGAGGTGTAAGGGATAAGAGGTGGCCGACCAAGGGTGAGAGCAAGGTTAAGGATTTTGGTTCAATTTTAATTCAACACTTCCTAAGTATTCTCTTAATTGAATAATTAAAGGAATAGAGAAAAGAGAAAAGGCAAGAGGGGAGGGGGCGGGGGGGGGTGGGGGCGGCAAGGGAGAGGGAGAAGATTAATTTAATTCATAAGGAGAGCTCCCTTGCGGAAGAATTAAATCAATGGGAGATGGGATTTATCCCAAGGAGGAATATGGGATTTGAAATTATTTTTCAAAGTAAAGATTGGTTTTAGGAAAGATTTTTCTATTCCAATCCCAAGAGGGGGCCGACGACATTAATGGGGACAAGGGCTGTAGGCAGTGTTAATGCTTTGCTTAAATTTGAGAGATTAAATTAGGAAGAAGAAAATTAATTCCTTTAATCAATATTGATTTGGGGATGAGGTTTAAAACTTACCTAAAATAGATTTTGTATTTTAGGAAAGATTTTGAATTTCAAATCACTTGGATTTGAATCGAAGTTTCTCTAATTATCGAATCTAAATTAGGAATAAAGAAAAGAAAAAGGGGGAAACGTCAAAGGGTTGGGCGGCTAGGGGGGAGTTGAGCCCTGCCGGTCTTGGTAGTGCGGGTGGGCGGCGGCTTGGGTGAAAAGGAGGGGGATTTCGGTGAGTGTGGGGGAGGTTTGGCTGTGAGTGGGGAGAGGGGAAGTAGGGCCGGCGGTGGTGGTGGGAAGAGGAAGGGAAGAGATAGGAAATAGAACCACGAACTTGACTTGTCTAGGTTGGTGGGTGATACGCAATCTTCCCTCGCCTAGGGATCTCACTCCGATTACTCAAGCTCTCAAGAGAACTCAAAAGACTTGTAGAAAATTTTCTTTCAATCATTCATTAACATCAAAAGAGAATAATGGGGTTATATATAACCTTTTACAAAGACTCAAGAAAATAAAAGACGACAATGCCCACTGGGCTTACATACGGCCTCCCTTAAGGGGTAAAAAAGGAAAACTAATAAAACAAATACAATATGACATAATAAATAAGAAAATACATAATACAACTCAGAAATACAATGACTCAATCTTGACCATAGATCGACGACCACATCTATGATAGATTTTCCACGCTCTGATGTCCCCATCAGTAAGTGTCATACTTTATCATATACCTTAGTATTATGGATGGATGTACATTTTGGGATATACTAAATAAAAA